TGGGAGGGGGGCCGAGCCGGGCCAGGCAGGGGCCCAAGGGAGGCGGGCTTGAGGAAGGGAAAGAAGGAGGGAGCTGGGGAGAGCCTGGAGCAGGGAACAGGAAAATGGGCTGAACCAAGGTGGACAGAGGTCTGGATCCGGGAAGGCTGGGCTCGCAGAAGTGATGGGAGCGAGGGTGGGGGTGGGGGGGGGGAAGGAAAAAGAACCAGGACAGAACCAAGAAGAGGAAGAGATACTGGGACAACTGAGGGGAGCAGAAACTGTGAAAGGGGTTAAGTGGGAACTGAAAGAAAGATAAGGGGAGGGAGCAGGAAAATCAATCAGAGACTAGAAGCGCTGACTCTCTGGGCTCAAAGTGGACCATGGAGTACAAGACGGAAAGGGACTATGGAAGGGAGAAGAGGGGAAAATGAATAGAAGGAAAGAAAAGGGAAAGGCAGGTAAATGAGTCTAGCAAATCCACCCCCCCCACTCACCCCTAGAGTCAGTCCCTTATTGTTTTTTAATGGATTCATAGGGAGTGAGGTTCCCCAGGCAGTAAGGATTTGAAGGCCAGAAGAAGGGGAGACAGCAGTCCTGTATAACTGGATTAAGGAAATGGGAGGTGGGCAACTAGGGGTGGGAAAGAGGTGCCCGTCAGAGTGCCAGCTATAGTCAACTATTAATCCTAGTTCCAACTGCCAGAGCTTTTCTTCCTGAAATGACCCCACATTCAACATAAAAGCACACGGCCATTCACATTCTGACACAGTCAGAAGGAGGCAAGCATCCCAGTGCCACTGGAGAATCCAGTTTATGAGAGAAGTGCCCTGGGCCTTGACTGGGTGATGAAGGAACCCACTCGCCCCTTCAACTCTTTGGAGTCCTATAGATACATCAGGTTGGTCTGGAAGATGACCTGAACCACTGGCTCCTATGTTGTGTTGCTCTACAAGGAAATCTGCTATTTCCATGAGGTCTACTCCGAGACCCTGGATCCTTCCACTATTCCTCGGGAACTAACCACCCAACCAGTCAAGTCCACCACACAATCCAGGCCTCCTGCTGATCCCCGAGGCAACCTAGCCTCAGGGGATATGGCTGGGCCAAAGGCCTCTCTGTATGTTAAGGAGTGAAAGTTGAGGGAGCAAATAATTTCCTATGATGACCGTAGGGCCTGTCAGTCACCTGCCTGTCTAACCTTGTAGGGGTTAGAGAGACCGAGGCCTGGGTGCGGGGAATGCAAGAGGGTGCATAGGAAGCAAAAGTAAAGTTTCGTTGTACTGCTGGACACTGTGTCTCATTTTGCTGGGGAATATTCTTACTGCTCTACTCCTTTCCCCCTTCCACATCACCTCCTGTTTCCTCCTTCTCTTCCTCCATTCTTCCTTTCATTCGCCTTTCCCTCATTTTGTCCTTCCTTCTCTTTTCCTCTTTCTTTTCTCTTTTTTCTCATATCCTCTTTCCTTACATCCTTCCTTCTCTTCCTTCCTTCAATCCTCCCTCCCTTTCTCCCTCTCTTGTTATTTTTTATTTCTCTGTTATATTCAATTGTCATGTTTTTCAAGCTCATTAAATCCATTTAGAGACAAAAGAATAAAAGGGAGAAGGGGGAGGGGAGGGGAGAGGAGGGGGGAGAGAGGGGCGGGGGAGGGAGGGGAGAGGCCGGAGAAGCAAACAAATAACGCGCTTTAACTAGACGGGCGGATAAATGGCCCCGTTTCTCCTCAGCTCCGATCCGCCTGCTTAGCTCCGCGCCCTCAAGGACCGGAGCGGGAGCGGCGGCCCGGAGTCCGCGCGGAGCCTCCCCCGGCGCGGGGAGGGGGGGGGAGCGGACATGGGAGGGGAGCTCAGCTCCCCCACGCCGCGGGGCCGGGCCGCGCGGGGACATTGGGAGCGGGCCGGGCCGTTTCATTGTGATTCATAGACTTGTCCGGCGGCAGGAGTGGGGAGCTGGGCAGGGGCGGGGGCGGGCTGGGGGGGCCACATGGCGGCCCAGATGCCCGGGTGACGGCAGCGCCGCGGTCCCGTCGCCGCCTTTGTGCACGGGAGGCGCGCACGGGGAAGGAGGGGGGACCTAATCCATCAAATTGTCTGGAAATTGTGAAGAAAATTCAAAAACCATATGGTCGCCAGAGCTCGCGCGCTCTCGGCTGCGGAGGCCGCGGCCGTCTCCGCACGGGGAGCGGCGGGGGGCTGGGCCGGCGCTATTGTCGCCTGTCAGCAGCGGCCCTGGGCCCATTTGTCCCCGGGTTTCATGCTTTACGCTCAAAATTACAGCCCCATCCATCCTGAAAGAGCGCGGCGATTTATGTCGCCCCAGAGAAACTGGCCCCAACTCCAGGCCGGCCTGGCTGGCAGCGCTCCCCCCACCCCCTACCCCGTGTCTCTGTCTCTGTTTCTCTGTCTCTCTCCGTCTCTCCCTCTGTTTCTCTCCCTCCTCCCCGAAAAGTCCCTGTCCTCGGCCTCGGCCGAGTCCCCCACGCCCCCCACCCCAGTCCCTAGTACCAGATGGACGTTTCTCACATCAATTTCTCAAAGAATGGGAGCTGGGCTGGTCCAAATCTGAGGCCTGGGCCCAGCGGGGCCAGGACCAAGGATGGAAGCTGAGCACCCGACGGGAGGTGCAAAGCTTGGGCAGCGGCAAAGAAGCCTGGGCTGGGAGCACAGTATGGGGGCCAAGGAGAGATCAGGGACCCAGGCGGGGCAAGACACTCCCCACCCCCCAAAAAAAGCCGAACAATCTTATGGAATAAAGATAGAAGAGCAACCGGGGAAATGTCCGTCTCAGTCGTCTCCTCTGCCCAATGTTCCCGCAACCTCCCCATAAGGTCCTTACAATACCGCGGGATTCCCAGGAAAGTGAATGCGACTCCTGAGAACCGCAGCACTAGGCCAACTACTCCTCACGCAGAGCCACCGCGAGCACAACTAACAATGGAGCGCCTTCACTCGAACTCTGGAGCCTTGCGTGGAGACCGCAGCCGTGAACATTTTGCAGAGCCACTTCCAGTCCTCTCTGCCTTGCCAATTCAAGTAGACAATGCTTTCAGTTCTTGTCTTTCAAGCACCGAACCCCCAGCCAGAAGGCAGCCGAAAGAAAGGACTGAAGGGAAGATTTGCACATTTACCGGACACACGGGAAACGTAGGTTTCTTTCCTCCGAAACACAGATCACATTCATTTGACACATATATATTCACAAACAGCCCCCGGGGTTATTTGCCACACTCAGGTATTCCTTTACACACCCAGTGACCTAGGACCTTCGCCTCCTCCCCCACCCCCCATTCCCATCCCCACACATACACACGTTGGTAACCGTGCAAGCATACGAGCCCCGTTTATTTTTATCCGGAACTGGCGAAGCCCAACGCTCATTCCGACCGTTTCGTTTTGTTTTCAAGCCAGTCTTTTTCTCTTCCTTCTCTCTCATCCTTCCCCTATTTTATCACCCTCAAATCCCCCATTTTTAGGGGACAGGGATGGAGTACAAAGAATACAGAGGGAACACATTCCGCCGGCCCGGTGGACTCACGGGTCCCATTGGAGGGCCGGAGGGATAGACAGAAAGATAAACTGGGGTTGGGGGAACTGAGGCATAGCAGAGAGGAACCGCTAAACCACTTTGCGGACGCTCAAGTCTCTGGCTCCCGAGGTCGGGTGCCTCAGTTAAACAGAATCATCATGGAGTTTAGTCAAGGGCAAATATTTTATTTGTGGGAAGCAGAGGCCGAGGGCAGAATCCGGAGAGTGCGCGAAATTCGCACCGGAAACCTAACCACTTCTGTCCAAGTGGGGCCAAGAGCAGGACCATAGCAATAGTGCAACAACGCAATTGCCGGGGGAGGGAGGTTGGGATTTACCTGGTCTCTGTCTTTGTCACATGCAAAACAATTTTTAAAAGTTTTAAAAAATCATTCCAGAGCTCTGGGTTATTTGTGTTCGTTTTCACCGCTCCCAGACCCGGGGCCGCCGCTGCCCTCCCAGGAAAACGCGGAGCGGCTTCTCAAGTACAGCAGGAGCACAGCGGGAATGGTAAAAATAGCTTTAATCGGTAACGTGAGGCAGAAATTGCATCGGAAACAAACCTCTACTCGCTAGGAAAAGAACGGATCGATTTTCAACTTGCAGGTCGGACCCCACTTTCCCCCCACCCCTTCCCCGCGCGAAAAAAGAAAGGAACGTTTCAAAGGAGGAAAGAAATACCCCGATCGCCCGCAGGGAAGGGCCCTGCTCCGGGCACAGGCACCACATGCAAGGAAAAAATCAAAAAGGCAAATTTGGATCTTCCGCCTAAGTGAAGTCGGGCTGGAATGGCCCGGGTACCCCGGGAAGACGTGGGAGGGAGGGAGCGGCGGCCCGGGTCCCTTCACTCCCGCTCCCTCGGTTGCTCTTGTGTAAATTCTCCGTTTTGTTTTTCGTTTGTCAAACACAGGACTTCTGAAGACGTTTTAAAAAATTGAAACCATCAAGAAAAAATGGGGAATAAAGGATAAGAAACCTCCCTCCCCAATATACACGTTTAAATATTTATACAGAAGCCATACAGAATTGCACCATTCCAGGGTACTCTCTGACCCGCAGCCCGGGTCTGCGGAGTCGAGCAGAGGAGACAACTGCGGCCTGGACAGCGGCAGCGCCGGCGCGGGTCCCGGTGTCCAGGCCCCGGGCAGTCGGTCCGGTTCACAGCTGAGGCCGGGCCGCTGTCTCGGGGTTTATTGCTTAGATAGGAAGGAGCCAGGCCGGGCCAGGCTGCGGAGGGGTAGGGACCAGCCCGGGTTCCCTAGGGCCTACAGTCCGGGCGGGTGAAGAGGTGGAGAGGACACAGTCCAGCAGGGGCAGGAAATGGGCAGGAGGAAAGGAAGAAGGAAAGAAGAGTAGAATGGGATCCTAGCTCCCATCGCATGGTCCGGGGAGCTGAGAGAGGAAGAGGTCATTGGGGAAGGATACGAATTGGGGGGGGTCTCGTGTTTGGAAAGGACAAGGGACGCTCAGCTCCCACCCCTACCCCCCCGGACTCAGTCGTCCACGTCGATCTCTACGTCTTCTTCGTCCTCCGAGCAGTCCTGGCTACTGGCCGGCTGGTCCGTGAGGGGAGAGGCAGGGGAAAGCTGAAGGTGGCCCGCCCCAGGGGCCTGAGGGGGGCCAGCCGGCAGGACAGGTGAGTTGGGCCGAGACTTGGGCCGCCCTCCTCCAGCCTCCGAGTTCTGCTCTAGCTCGGCCAGAGCCACGATGTCCACCTGCGAGCTGGGCCCCAGTTTCTTGGCGGACTCCACGTCGGCCTTCATCTCCTCCAGGTCCCGCTTGAGCTTGGCGCGGCGGTTCTGGAACCAGGTGATGACCTGCGCGTTGGTGAGGCCCAGCTGCTGAGCGATCTGGTCGCGGTCGGCCGGGGACAGATACTTCTGGTAAAGAAAGCGCTTCTCCAGTTCATAGATCTGGTGGTTGGTGAAGGCAGTGCGCGACTTCCGCCGCTTTTTAGGCGTCTGCCGCTGCCCGAAGATGGTCATCCCGTCGCGGCCTGTATAGAGATCATAGGCAGGTTGGGAGTGGAAATGGAAAGGGTTGGGTAGGAAGTGGAAAAAGGACACCCTTTCTGTCGTTTCCTAGCCTCCTCCCCCCTAGGCCTGGAGAAGGGTTTCCGAATTCCTCCCTGACCCGATCCAGGGAGGCCTGGGCCCAGGATCTGCGGCAGTACCGGTTCCCGGGCTCCTGGCCCCAACGGACCGAATGAGTGCATGGTTTCCCCGGCCCAGTTGAGCATGGGACACTTAGGAATAAGCAGCGCTCTGAGCAAAGGCAACCAGGGTAGGACAGCGTGGGAGTTTCGGCTCCAGAGGCACCACCAACCAACCCAAAACCTACCCCACTTGTAACCACCTGCCGTGAGGAAAAAGGTAGTGAACTATGTAGCCCCATCTATGTCTGACCTGGCCCAGTAGTAGCCGGTCCAGACCGCAGGCTAGAGCCGGATAGGAGGGAGAGAGAGAGAGGGAGTAGAGGGAGGGCCTGGACCAGCTCGGAATGGGGCAGAAGTCAGCTTCGTACTGACTAGCGTCAGGGCAGGGTAGGAACAGGCTGGCTGAGCCGGGAACCGGCAGTCCTACCTTCGGCTGCCTGCAGGACGCTGACCTCCAGGCCCTTAAAGGTCTTGCTGGCTAGTTCCTCCAACGCACAGAGAGGTGAAGTCTGCGAGAGTAGGGCCCGGCCCGCCAGGGGCAGGCTGCCTGGGGAGTGCTTGTCGGCTGCGGAGAGCAGGTGCGCCGCTCCGCACAGCGAGTAACTTCTCCGCACCGACGGCTTATTGAGAATGTCCTCGATGCTGAAAGGAGTGAGTGGCTTATTGGAGTTGGCTGGAGGGGGCAGGTGGTCCAGGGGGCTACGGCGCCGCTCCTCCCCAGACGACGCTTTTCCTTCTTCTTTGGAAGTCATGCTGGGCTCGGGGGACGAAGCCGGGGCAGGTTCTGGCTGTGGGCGCTCGCGGGAGCCGCTGCCAAACCCGCCGCCCGCCACCCGAACCGCAGCGAGCGGGGGAAAAGTTCCAGCCCGGGCGACAACTCTAGACGCGGAGGTGGGGGATGGGGGTGGAGGGCACCGGGGTCCTTGAAGAACAGCCCGGCTCGCTGGGGGAGGGGAGAGCAAGCTGAGCGCAAGGTTACCGCGGCGGCCGACAGAGCTGCCCAGGGCCCCCGGAGGAGGTCGTAGGGAGGGGGCGCGCGGGCGCCGCCGGGGCTTCCCGCAGTCCCGGGCCGAAGAGGGGACACTGCGTGCCGGGCTCCAGTTTCGTCTTCCTCCGTGCTATTTAAAGGTGTCAGATGTCTCCGCGGCCCCTTGCCCCTGGTCCTAGCGGCTAAGGGTTGGAGGAGCCGAGGAGAAGGCGCAAATCCAGGACTGCGAGAAGAGGCGGAGAGACGGAGCAATTGACTATTGCTAACAAGTTATCGTTGATTGGGAGGTAATCAATTATCCGCAATGACACTTCTCTTCTTCTCTTCTCTCTTCTCTTTTCTTCTCTCTCTCTCTCTCTCTCTCTCTCTCT